AGGAATGGCTCCATGGAGACAGCATTCCCTGGCTGTGCCAGCATTCCTGAGCATCCCTGTGTCGTTCCAGGACTACAACATCGACGAGGAGGCAGCGCTGCAGGCAGCCCTGGCCCTGTCCCTGTCTGAGAACTGAGGGAGATCCAGCCCTGCCCTGGCTCCTTTGCACACTCTGGGACACGCAGAGCATTCCCTGAGCAGCATTCCCGGAGCAGCACTGCTGCCTCTTCCCTCTCGTCTCCAGGCCTATCCCACCTTGTTTAAGAAGGTGGAGCCTCTTCAGCTTCGTGGTGAGTGAGCAGAGACACCCAGAGAGAGGAGCCTGCACCGAAGGGCTGGGATCAAGCCTTGCTTGGGCATTCCCTATCCCTGTCTGGAGCATATCCCTGTGTCCAGAGCTATTTATTCTTGGATGTTTTTGGCACACTTGTCCTTGCTCTGTTGCAACCAAACAGGTACCTGGAACTCATCTACTTGGTGCACAATACCCTGATTTGGGACTCTAATCATCCACAGCCTTCTAAAAAGGAGGAAAAGATGGAGCAGCATGTCATAAACTCTCCAAGGATTTTTCCAGAGGTGTTGGGCTGTCCCAGCCCCTGTGCTGCAGGGAGGAGCTGCTTCTTTTGCCTGGATCCCGGGATGAGACTTGTCCTGTGCCCCCTGAGGAGCCTCGGGGGTTGCATCCAGGAAAACTCTCCCATTCCCTGTTTTGTACCAATTCTTGGAATACTGAATCCTGGTGTTTTTCTACACGTGAAGCCTTTTCCACGTTTTCTAGAGCAGGATCAGGAGCTGTTCCTCTCCACACTGCAATATCCATCCCCTGGGACAAGAGTATTTTTATGGAACATTATTAACAAAGTCTATTTTTTACAAAGAAAACCAAATTCCTCCAAACAAATGAACCTGTGGATTTGGGATTGGATGGGAAGCAGGAACTGGAGCCTGGAGTGATGGGCTGGAAGCACAGAGGTGTCCTATTTGGGACTTCCTGGGCTACTCCTGGGCCTTCCTGGGATGTTCTTGGATCATTCTGGGATGTTCCGGGGTCTTCCTGGGCCGTTCCTGGATTTTTCTGGGCTCTTCCCTTCTCTTCCCAGCATTCCGCTGCCTGTGAGGGAACAGGCAGGATCCTTGTGCCATGCTGGCACTGGCGTGGAGCAGCTGGATTGTACCCAGGCTATCCAGGTGCCTGTGGGATGTGTATCCATGCAGGATCCCAGTCCCAACACTGAGCTGCTTATCCCCTCAGAAACAGAGGACTGATTGCATCTCCTTTTCTCAGTCTTTCCCTGGGAATATGGCACTTGATCCAAGATGCTCCAGAGCATCCTGGAGAGCTGTTCCCCCCATCCCCTTCCTCTCTGCCTTGCCTGGCTCTTTGGAGGGCTAGGAGAAGGTGCTGGGATGATTCCAAAGCTCCCACTGATGGAGCTGAGGGAGAGGCTGATGCCCAAGCCCCATCCTGCCACCTTCCAGTGGGGATTTGCAGGGAAAAGGGGTGGGAGAGAACCCCTCTGCTTCTCCCTGCTGGGAGAATCCCAAGGTTTACCCTGGCTCCAGCAATATCTGCTTGGCATTATTGGCAGTGGATGAGGAGTGTGCAGGGACCCTCCACTATCTGGCAGGGCAAGGAGAGTGCTGGAATTGCCTCTCTTCCCTCCCCAGAGCCAGGACAGCGAGAAGGGATGGGATCTTCACCCACCTGCCCAGCCTGGAGGATGTTCCTGGTGGGATGGAGACCACTGGCATCTTCCAGGAGGTACTTGGGAGTGTTTCCCTATGCTGCTCTCAGCTGGGACCCTCAGCTCCCCTCGGGAGCCCTTGCAGGGACCTTCCTGCTTTGGAACAAGACTATTAACCTCTGGCTCCTTCCTCCTCCTCTTCCTCCTCCTTTTCCTCCTTGCCCTCCTTTTTGCCCCTCAGAGCCAGAGCAGAGGGACAACAGCTGCTTTTGTAAAGCACTTTAAGGCCGTGGGTGTGAGGGATTGGATCTGGCTGGGCTGTGCCAGGAATCCCACAGTTGCATGGATTCCCACTGTTCCAGGGATCCTGTGGTACCCCTGGCCCTGCCCATCAGTGTGTCCCTCACCCCTTTTTGGCATCCTGAGGACTCTTCCCGAGCTCTCTGGTTTTTGCAGAGGAGTTAAAGTCTCTGCCAGGATTTGTAGCAAACCACTTTTCTCAATAAAGAGAGTTTCACCCACCCTGGGCCTCACTCTGGGCCCTCCTTGGGGTACACTGGGCATACTGGGAGTGGTGCTGGGAATACTGGGAGGGGTACTGCTGGCATGGCATGGCGGGATAGGGGCACCTGCTACAGGTTTAGCCTGGAGAAGAGGAGGCTCAGGGGAGACCTTATCCCCCTCTACAATTCCCTGGAAGGAGGTTGGAGTCAGGTGGGGGTTGGTCTCTTCTCCCAGGCAGCAGGAGGACAAGAGGGCACAGACTCAAGCTCTGCCAGGGGAGGGTTAGGTTGGATATTAGGAAGGGATTTTTTACAGAGAGAGTGATCAGGTATTGGAATGTGCTGCCCGGGGAGGTGGTGGATTCACCATCCTTGGAGGTTTTCAAGATGAGACTGGTGTGGCACTTAGTGCCGTGGTCTAGTAACCACAGTAGGGTTGGACTTGATGATCTTGGAGATCTCTTCCAACCTGGTTGATTCTATGGTACTGGAAGCATTGAGAGCTACCTGTACTGGGAACACTGGGAGTGGCACTGGGAGCACTAGGGGGGTAATAGGGTTATTGGGAGCGCTGGGTGTGGCATTGGGAGTGACACTGGGAGCTGCATTAGGAGCAGCAGTGGGAGCACTGGAATGTGGAGGTCACAGGGTGTTTGGGACCACTGGAAGCGGCACTGGGAGTGCTACTGGGAACAGTGACCAACACTGGCAGCACAAGCACCACTTGCGCATGCGCAGTCTCTGCCCTATTCCAACATGGCGCGTCCGCCCTCCCTTCCCGGCGCGGGTGGGCGTGGCCTCGACGTGGTCCGATCGCT